TAATATACTCTCTCTCTCTCTCTCTCTCTCTCTCTCTCTCTCTCTCTCTCTCTCTCTCACACACACACACACACACACACCACGTGCGCGTGCGCGTACTTGTATAAAATATCAAGTAATTGAATATTTTATCATGTGAAAAAAAAATTGGAAAGTTAGAATGCTGAATGATTTTTCACTTTATCCAATAACTTGTACATGTTTAAGCTTGTTCTTTTTTGTGCTTAAAAAGAATTAGATATATTAGATATATTCTGGGGTAATTCAAATGTTTTTTCTAATTATATTAGGGTATAAGGAAAATTTTCGCGCATACTATAGAAGAAGCAATTAGCTATTCTACATTGAAATTTCTATTTGTCTATGACATTAAATATTAAGTTAACGACATATTTATTTTGCTTTACAATGGAGCCAGATAAGGCACATATTCGCAATAGCGTTTGTTCTGTTTGCAATAGCATTTTGTTCTGTTTTAATTTAAAGAAAAATACTTCTGAAAGAATGATGAATTCTTTCAATGTGGCATTCGTGCTGCCTGGAAGGTGGATAAAGGTAGTAGAAAACGATGGCAAATATTTTGACTACCATGCATTGTACTATTTATTTTATTTTAATAAAAAATTATTAAAAATGCGCGGAAACTTTCCTTATACCCTAATATAAATTATATTTATTTGAAATCAATATTTCATAATAAAAACACATCAAAACATGTATGGCTCATTAATTTTTAATAATCAATTATTAAAAAATTAAAATAATTAAAAATAAAAGAATTATTATATGTAAAGTAATTACTTTTTAGGATAAAAAAATAATTCTCTTAGTTTTAAGTAACTTGAAATCTAAGACACAGAGATTTATTAAGATTGAAATTCCAAAAAATTTGCAGAAATGGCAATATTAATTGAAGAAAATATATATTTTTTAATATAAATATGTCGAATTTTTGAGCAAAATTTATTTATAAAAATTAATGTTTATAAAAGAAACAAAATCTTAAATAATAGACAATCTTTCCCTATTCTTCGATAATTTTGTAAAAAATCAATATTTTACAGAAACAAAAATATAAAATTAAAACTTGATTTTAATTTTATATATAACAATAATAAATATTTTCATTTTTTATGAGTTTTAATTTTTCTGAAATTAGAACTTTTAAAAAAGAATTTTCTAATTTAATAAAAGCAATTGTAATTAGGAGGATTTAAATAGATTATATATTTAAAAAGGTGAAAAAAAAGGAAAATTACAGAAAAATGTATAAAATACAGATAAAAACTTTTTTATGTAACAGTTTTAATGATGACATACGATTCAGAGCAATAACTCACAATAAATCATATAAATAATAAAATGCATTTCTGTTGAAGAGAAATTTGTCCTCTTTGTTTAAAGTTCTTATTTAAATACTTGATACTTTGTTGTATGATTTTTGTTCACAAATACCAATGTATATGATTGCAAATACCATTGCACCAATGTATATGATTGAGATTTTTCATTTTCTGCACAAGATATATCAGATCTAGCAAATCATTAATTTTTGCTAAGTTTTTTACTAGTATTTAATCTTTCAGGTTTTTTCTTTATTATAATATCCACTGTTAGAAAAATTATATAAATAAAAAATGATTCAATAGGTCTGAGAAGTTTTATATATTTTTTATGTGTTCTTTGTAATAATAGAAAATTTAGACATATAACAAAAAATATAAAATTAATTAAAAAATTTGCATTATTATAATAATATTATAATAATATTATAATAATTTTGTATTTGTGCACGTATAAAAGAAAAGAGGACAGAAGAATGTTGATGAAAAGAAAGATTAATTAATTGTATATCATTAAATTTTTTTGTGAAAATGATATTTAAATCTGTTTATATATTTAAATTTCTTCAAGCGTATCAAAGAATAATAAGTTCTTTAAACATAAAAATAATTGATATAATATATAATATAATATTTCCCAATCAGAAATACATTATTAAATCTTCCTTGTCACGAAATATATTTCATAAAATTGTAGTCAAATAACTAAGATATTACATATTTCTATTATTGATATATTGAGTTATTGAGTTTCATGATTTATATGTAAAATATGTCAAAATTCTCTTAGAGAATATATTTAAGTATTATTAAAGAAATTTAAATAATTGATTCTTTATATATAACGTATATATACATATATATTTATATATTTATATATTTTTAAATAATGTAATGTATAATATAATGGAATACTCAATTTTTTCCATAAATAAGATTCAGTTTATCAAAAACTTAAAAAATTTTTTTACTTAAAATTTAATATCAATTTCTACTGTTTTAAAATTATCACATATAATTGTTCCCTTTTGTCACTTCAATGTATTAAATAAAAATATAATAAGATTATGTATCACAGTTATGAAAATTTTTATATATTAATTTAATAGTTATAATATTGTACGATATTAATATCCGTTGAAATGTATGTAATATTTCATTCATGCTGATTTTATAAAATAAATAATTATTAATTGTTTTTTGAGGAATTTATCAGTATTAAAATATAAGATAAATATATAACTTAAACATAAAATAAAATTATTAATTTAATTTTTAATATTAATTTTATAGGTTGTATAAAAATATAAAAGCTATTAGTAACTTATTAGAAATTATAACATAAAGTTACTGTTATTATAATAAAACTTTGAAAGTATATAAAAGGTAAAGATCTGAAATGTTCTTCCACATAGATAGTTTTAAAATAAATATTTTAATATCGATAAATTCCTAATATTTTTAATAATGAAATGTACTTCCTTTTTGAATATAGTAGTTTTATTGAAAAATGAACATACTAACTGAAGTATGAAACCAAGTATTTAAATACAATACAGTATTAAAATATATTTTAATGATATACATGAAAAAGAAAGATTCAATTAGATGAATATATATATGTTTAGACATGTTTTATATTTAAATTTGCACTATAAAACAAATAGAACAGATATAGAAAAGTAACATATCTCTAATCATAAAGCAAATCTCCATCAATAACTATACACACACATATATATATATATATATATATATATATGTATGTATGTATATATATATATATGTATATGGGTCACAACCAAAATGAGGTTTCTATAATAAACTATATGAAAATTGATATTTATATATTCCATAATCAAATATTAATATGCAAAAATATTTTCATAACTTGATCCAAGAATAATCCAATTATATAAATATTTAAGATATGATTAAAATGTTGATAAAAGATAGGCTGTGGCGGAAATGTTGATTGAGAGCTATTTTTATAGCTTTTTGACTTTTAAAAACTAATCACAATAAAGTAATATATTTTGCTATATTTTGAACATTGTCACATCAATACAGAAAATATGTATAAGTAGATAACATTATACATTTTTTGTGTGATATTAATCATTCTATATTAATCATTAAACTAGCTGTTAAGGCATTTTAATTAAAAATATATCTTAAAATATATCCATTTATATTTATTATTTTATGAAAAGAATATTATTTAATGTCAGATTCATTGTATCTCAAATATGCATTATTCTATATTAAAAAAATATATGTACATAATATTTTTAATCATGTGCTATGAAAAATGATTAGAAACTCAATTTTATATCCCATAAAAAGATTTTAATTAAATAAGAGATACGATCGATAATATTTATTTCATACAGACAAATTAGATGTTACAAAGAATCTTGAGCAAAAAATATTATTCATTTTGAGCTACTATATACCTTGGAAAATTAATTTTAAAAAATATTCTTTTATTTATAAATTATTATACATTCCTTGCACACAATCATTATATAAATAACTTTATCTGGTGATTCAAATTTAAGTCCAAGATAACTTACATATATATTACATATACATTTACGTATATATTACATATATAAATATTTTATCAGTAAATATTTTTCATATATTAATTAATGTTACTCCAAAGAATATACATTAGGATATATTCAATTTCGTTTATAATTTAATGTATTTCATTATAATATTGCTACAAAGATTTGCTATGCTCTATAACTGTACAAAGCAATTGTATCAAAATGTTATATTGCTAATTCGCTCTGTTATAAACGATAAGATAACAAAAATTTATGTAAATAATATACTCGAATAAATGATCTAAGTAGCAACATAAATGTGACAAATAAAAAATATGTATGTTAAGTATATATAACACATGAAGTTTTACCTTATTGTCTTTATCTGTGTAATAAAATATCTAATCCTATTAAATATGTGACAATCTGATTTCGTTAAATCACCTATATATATTAAGATATATGAATTATTAATCTATAAATTACATATAATAAATCAGTCATGTATATAGAACAAATTTTCTTTATCTAATACAACAAATTACCAATAACCAATTCTTTATTTTTATATATATTTATATTTTTTTTAATTGAAACTTTAGAATGTCATAAAATGGTGTAAATATTTTTTACCATAAAAGATAAAATCTTCTGTTGCATATAATTCCAATATTAGATAAATTTTTTACATTTAAATTTATTTTGTATTTTTTCTCAAAATAACATTTATTCATTTATATATTATTTAATAATGAATGCATATTAGGAATTAGAAATAAATTTTTAAAAATTTAGATTCAAGACGGTGAGATAAATTTTTTGGTTACAAATGAAACAGATATATGCTCCATTTCCAACTAAATTTTATGTATTTCTGAATTATTTGGGATGAGTTGTTTATCAAAATTTTTATATACAATGCATACAACACACACACACACACACACACACACACACGCGCGCGCGCGCGCAGGAAAATTTAATGTGTTTATAATACACTAAATATATCTCGGATTATTTTTTATCATTACCAAACTTAACTGTATCAATACAAAAAATAAAAAATTAATACTAATGGTAATATAGCATAATACAGATGTATGTAATATTAACCGTAATTAAAGAACAATTACAACAATATTATTTTAAGAATATTTCATTTTGTTCTTTAAATTTCATCTTCGTTTAAAAGCATATTTGGGATGCCATCGTTAATAGGAAATTTTCTGCCAGATTCTGGACATAATAAATCTCCATTTATAACTTCAACTTCCAAAAGAATGTGATGAACCTTTTTCAGAAAGTCTTCATTTGTTTCAAAGTCTTCAATTAGAATCTGAGGTAATTCACCAACATGTCCTATCTGTAATAACATATTTATTAATATAAAATATTTTTACAATATTTTAATAAAAAACACATAAGAAAATGATCTTACACTTTCAGCAGCTTTCCATAGCACCGTCCAATCCAGTTTTGGAATTATCCTAGCAATATATTCTGGATTAAAATCCACTTCAGATACTCTGATGTCTCGGGCCTAAATTTTATAAACATTTTTAATAAATATACAATAGTAAATAAAGTCAAAACACTAGATAGAATAAAATTAAATTTTAATTAGAAAATAATATGCAACATTTTGAAAAATTCAAACATAAAATTTTTATCATTTTCGACAAAAGTAACTTTTTATCCCTAAATATAAATTGTTTTCTAACAATTTTAGAAGTTACATAAATTTAAAACATAAAAATATGCAAAAATCATTTAGGATTCAATAGAGATTAGATTCAATAATATATTTAAAATTCTAAGAACAAGAATTTAAATACATAAAATCAACTCAAATAAAATTGAAATGTTAAGTTATAATACTGTATTTTCACACAATATAGTTTATCTAATTAATATCTGTTGAGTTTTTTATAAACAATAATCAATTTAGTAACAAAAGTCATACAAAAATGTTGATAAAATAACCTTATTTCAGAAATTGAATGAATGTATCATTTAATATATTTGAAAAGGACTTTTATTATTTAGGCAAGAGTTTATTTCAAAAATTTTGAATTTAGTTTAAACTTTATAAACCGTACAAATTGTAATAAGTATATATCTTAATAACATATAAAGAAAATAACTTACAACAATTTTGAGAGGATAACCCTCAGTTACGCCTTTCATGGCTCTAGATGTCAACATATTATGCGTGAGAAGTTTCATATTTTCCAATAAGAAATTGACAACAAATTACGTATTCTATACTTTTTTTTATAACACAGAGATGCAAATGTATATAGCTATTTCTTAGACATAATAATAAATAAATCAAGATAGATCAGCAATCCCGACGCAAAGAGGTCTGAATAGTACAATAAGAATAGTATAACCACAGGACTGAGTTTAGAAACGCTGAATATATTATTTTAGCCTTGTTTTTATCTAATGTTAAATAAAGATAAAATGATATCTGGGTATAACACTCAGATGTTATTCTGAATGCGCTCTTGTATATTCAATACGAGCAAGAGTCTCTATATTAAGAGTCTGATCTATAAGAGTAGAGACTTGCCAACTCGTCACGTGACGTTGGAGACTCGGGAGCGTTCTGTTTGACCACAGCCACTCATAGCGTTTGAATAGAGGAAAACTTCTAGGCACCGGCCGCTGTGAGTGGCTGTAGTCAATCGCAACGTGGTCAAACGGGACGCTTCCCCCACGACATCGACACACGACACGTTGTAGAACAATCCTAAACCGATGTTTTATAAATCAAGGTGGCGACTTTATGTTGGACTTTATGTTGGAATTTTATCGGTCCGGACTATTACTCTATGAAATTATATTATGTTCTATACTAGAAATTATGTTATATTCTACTATATTTTGAAATTATGTTATGTTCTACTATATTTTACGTGCGATGGTCCTAGCTTATACAATCTCATACGAGCATATGTAGTTGTCATTTACATTAATGCGGATATTTTATATATAAAAATATGAACTGATAGTTTTTCAATTTTATTAACAAACATTATTACATATTTTGATAGTATTTATTTAATAGTTAATTTCTAATAATTGCATTCTTATTTCTATTATGATTATTTTAGATAGGAATAGGTAATTCTTTTGCAACTAATATTAAAATCTGATCTGTACTCAAACACCAATTTGCTATATTTTTAGAAACTTTGCACCAATTTTCGCCATGATGCGGTTCCGCGGCAATACATCTCTTTTTTACTTCTTCTTGCTGTTCTTCTGTACCATTTAGTAATTCGAATTTATAAAAATATGCCCATGCATCTCCTAAATCTGGGTCTATCTTCACTGTCCTATTGAACCAATCTCTGCATTTTGAAATTTTGTGTTCGCACCAAAATAATCTGTAAAAATCATGAGATTTGTATTCCTTTAAAGAGAGAGAAAAAAAAGAGGAAAAAAATACGAAGAAATAAAGAAAATTGAATTGTTTATAATATATGAAGTACTTCATTTTTTTTACATTCTGTATGACAAACCTATTTAATATTTTCCTTTTCTAAGTAAATCTTAAAAAAAAACTTACTTTGATACTGCTAGGAGGACATGTGGATCATGTTCACATTTTTTGGTAGCATCAACACTTTTAGTTTTTCGTTGAGGTCGAGGTTCCATGAAAATTGCTTCTGCCCAGAGTAGACCGGATGTAGGACATTCTTGTAATGCCTTAGCCATTAATGTATTTGCCATATCTCGTGAACCGTCACTTTTCAATTCATTTCGTATAGCTTCTAGCCATAGTTCTGCATTTTTAGGATTCTTGAGTCTGGCTTTCTCCAAAACTGAACGAGCTTTAGTCACTTGGTTTCTTCTATGCTCCAGTTGCGCTAACAGACGCCACAAAGGTATCGAATTTGGACATTTTTTAATCTAAATACATATAGAGGAATACATCATTTTTTGTATTTGAATTATTAAATTAGTAATAAAAGTTGCTTACCGCCTGACTATACGTCTCTATTGCTTTATCTAAGTGACCCTGTTGTTCTTCAATTTGGCCTTTCATTAGCCACAATTTAGGGAAATCATCAAATGCTTCAAGAGCTTCCTTCAATAGAAGTAATGCTGCATCGAGATTATTAAGAGCCCATTCCAATTTAGCACTTTTCATCATTACTCTTGGTGTCGGAGCCGATGCTCTAGCTTTTGCCAATAAACGTCGCGCTCTCTCATATTCCGAATTTTCAGATTCAAGTTTCACTGCTGCCAACCAAATTTCTTCGGAATTTGGATTAGCTTGAAATGCAAGAGATAAAATACCTCTAGCCGCTGGTACATCACCCTGAAAAAATAAAATTGTGAGAAAAAAAGATCAACGGAAATAAAAACGGAATAAAAATTATTTTAATTTTTATAGTTGAATTTACTCACAGCCAGCCACTTTGATTTAGCACCCATCAACCAAAGAACTTCACTTTTGGGACAATGAGCGACTGCTCTCTGTAACAAAGTTTCCAGAGATTCTCGCGTGCCATATGTCTTTTCGAAATAAGCAGCGCGTAACCAAATTGATTTTTTACTAGGAAATGTTGTTAAGGCATATGCATAAACAGCTCTGGCACATTCTAATGCTCCTTGTTGGGCACACTGCAAATAATATATTTGTCTTCATATATATATATATATATATTAATTTTTATGTTATATTCCATTTGAAATATATACAAATTAAAAATAGCCTCACAGTTTCAGCATCTTCCATCCATGTATGTTTTCTATCTTCTTCTTCTACACCAAAACCGATAATGGCTTTAATAATAACTTGGCAACAATGTACTGCTCCTGCTTTTTCAGCTTCCATAGCTTCTTTAAACCAATGTTCTCTATTGATTTCTACCCCGTTTGCGCTCAATGATGATATAGCACGATCGATTATCTTCTCAACCATGTGTTTATTGCCATTTGCCTCCTCCAATTTCGCAGCAGTAGTCCAAATTTGTCTATCAGTCGGAATATTCTCTCTGGCTTTGTTTAAAACTTTTCTTGCATTGTCATATGTTTCTAATCTAGCAAGAGCAAGCCATAAATCCACACTGGTTGGACAACATTCAACTGCACGACTGAGTAAAATACGTGCGTCCTCAGGTTCCTCTAACTCAACGGCTGCTTTCCATAATCGCACAGAGTTTGGAATATGTTCAAGAGCTTTTCGATATACTCTTCGCTTTGCTTTTACTTCTATTTCTAAGTCTGCGGCTTTTATCCAAATTCTGACAGATGTCGGAATGTGTCGCACCGATTGTGCTATCACTGCTTTTGCTGTGTCCGGTGGTTGTAATCTTGCAGCTTCCAACCATAGATCCTCAGAGGTAGGATTTACTTCACATCCTTTCATTATTAAATTTCTTGCAGCTTGAACTTTTCCTGTCACCTCTTCTAAACGCGCAGATGCGATCCATGCAGGTGGATGATTGGGATTAGTCTCTCTAACGGATTTCAACAATAACCTCGCTTTTTTTATATCGCTATGGAAATAAAAAAATTAAATTTAGTATTATATTTACTTATAAAGCTTTAAAATTAAATATATAACGATTACCCTTACTTTATATCACCACCATAAGTAGGTATCATACTTTGTAAATCTGTAAGATATCCTTTTGGATCGACTACAGTTTGACCTTCTACAGAATCAGAAACTTGATTTAGTTTAACGTTCATCAATGTATTTCGAGCCTGTCCAATTTTTCTAAGATCAAGATCTCCAGTGGGAGTGAGCATGCCAGGTGTTGCCACACCTGGCATCATGGAGGCTAGACCACTAGATGGATCAATGCTGGTCGATGTTTCACCTCCTAAATTTCTTGCTAATACAGAATCTGGCAATGGGGTAAACTTTTCTGCTCTAGGATTACGTTGTTTACGATTTCTAGCATCCCCTACTTCGGGAACATTTCTCCACTCATCTTCAGTTACATTAACCAACTCTCTTTTTAGATCTGAGAATTGTTGTTGAATCTTAGGACGTTCTTGGCGATAGCGTTCTAATTCCTCCCTGAGACGCTTTTCTCTGTATTCCTTACGTTTTTCATCCATCCGTTTGTCAATAGCTTCATAAATTGCATCTGCTTCTTCATCATCTTTGTCATAAGGATCCTGATAATTACAGATTAGATTTTTTTTTTATAATTAAACTAGTGCAAATTCATTATATTTAAAATAAAATAGTTCAATATTATAATTATCTTTGTAATTACTAAACAGAGAAATTTTTACCTTACTAAAAAGAGAGCCTCCATATCCAGAAAATTCATCATAATTTGAATCGTTTAAGTCTTCTTCATCTTCTTCTTCTTCTTCTTTCTTTTTTGCACGTTTTGTTGGTGGAGCATGTCTATCATCTCTATTCGGAATGAAGCATTAAACATTTTTAGTAAATTATACAGTTTTTCTCAGTGTACAACATATATATATATATATATATATATATATATATATTATATATATATATATATATATATATATTATTA